ATTTCCATTCATTCATTGCTGCACTTCTCTCCCTGAAAAACCCAATTTTTTAAAGAACATATGTGATCACACTTATACAAAATCTAGATATGTTATATCTAGAATCGGCAAATGAGTAGAAACCAAAAGTTATTAGTGGTTCCCAGGACGAGGTCAAGGGGGAGACTTGGGAGATATTGTTAAAGGGATACTGGGCTTCTGTTTAAAGGGTCTCTGGTGGCATAGTCCATAGATAATAAAGAGGTTGCACATCTCCAGTGGTTCGCAGTCACCTGTGGGTCTGTGGGAGAAAGATGAACAGTCTCCTTCCAGTAAGATTTACAGCAGCAGAGACCTGATAGAAAGTTGCTACGAGTCAGAAGCGAGGTTTGTTGAGTTTAGGCTTCTGTTAAGGGTGATAAAATATTTGAAAATTGATAGTGGTGATAGTGAACATTATTAATATAAATGAATTTTACACAAAATTTATTGATTCCAAGAGGAGGGAAGTACTTCCTCAAGTACTTAATGTTCTGTCAGAGAAAAATCAGCCTGATAGTTGGTGTCCATTTTTTCAGGATCCCATTGGATAAGAAAATTAAGGAGGGTGGGAGTAAGGCATTGTTCAGGAAGGCGTCCTGTCCCAGAAATCTTTACAAGATTTTCCTTTTTAAAATTTTCAGCAAATTCCAGGATAATCTTTTCAGAAATATTCTCAAAAGCTGTTCTTCGTAACATCTCAGTTAGTTAGCAGAGCTCCAGTAGCTTCATTAAGGAACTCCTGGATGGAGCAAGCAGTTAACATTCGCTGTTGTTTGTGGTTCAATTCTCCCCAAAGGTGCCCTAACAGAAAGAAAGGTCTGGTGATTTACTTCCAAAAAATCATCCATCGAATACTCTGTGGAGTGCAGCTCAACTCTGTTGTGCGTGGGGGTCACCCTGATTCTGATGGCAGTGATTTTCTTTTTTTGATTGATTGGCTGGTTGCTGGAGTAGTTTTATTGGTGCCCCTGTCACGTTTAACTCACAATATTCTCCTTCTTTCAGCCCAGCTAGTCCCTTCTCATTGAAGTATGTGCAGATGCATTTCTGCTGTTCATTTGGTTTAGCTGCTCTTTTGGGGGAGCGTTTTTATATTGTATCACCAACTTTTAAAAAGGATGTTTTCTATTTGTTTCTAGGGTTATTTCCTCCTCTCTTTTCCCTGAAACCATCTGTTGGATCTGGAGCCCTTCATGTGTATGGGTCAGTCCAAAAATAGCTTGTCCCTGCTTGTGGAAGAAAAATCACATTCCAAGCTCAAGACCCCCTGGGCAGCTTGCTCATTCATATCTGTTTGTAGAATTCCTATAACTTCCTGGCTTTGGTATTGATTGGCTTATAGATGTTACTATAAAGCACAGAGTGGGTGAGGGCAAAATAGGATATTTTTTCTTCTTCTTTCCCTTTTTAAGTCAAGGCCAAATGATATTTTTTCAAAAATCAATTTGGTTTGCCTAAAAGGCAAAGATACTTCTGACAAGCCACATTGGAACGCAACTTTTTTCAACTCTAGTCACTGGCAACCGTTAGAACATGCTAATTCAGACACCTCCGAGAGAGAAGCAAGAACAAGGGTGGAATGTTGATTTTTCTCATATTTAATTCTGTAGGGAACAAAGCTCTCTGGGGAAGCTTTGTGCTTGTCTTTTCAATCATTGGTTTGTGTATTGTCTGATGCATTACAAGTACATGGCTGGTAATTTTTCTATTACCTGATTACAAAGAGATCTAATCATCGCTCAGGAAACATTTTCACTTAGGCTTTTTATGCAGCATTCTGTGGAATGGTATATGTAGTCTTGTGGTTGTCAGTGCTGACAGTTTACTCTATTAAAATAGGGCACTGGATCTATAAGCTTCAGCAGAGTATGCCCTGACTTCCCTGAAGGACAAGACCAGACATTCTCCATGCCATACAGAGCTGCAAATCTTGATCTTTTGTTTATTTTTGTTGTTGTTACAGGAACACTTCACTCCCGAGTGTAAATTCAAAGAATCGGTGTTTGAAAATTATTACGTGACTTACTCCTCGATGATATACCGTCAGCAGCAGTCAGGCCGAGGGTGGTATCTGGGCCTGAACAAAGAAGGAGAGATCATGAAAGGCAACCATGTAAAGAAGAATAAGCCTGCAGCTCACTTTCTGCCCAAACCACTGAAAGGTAAGCTTGATGTGACAGGATCTGGAGTTAAATGAGCATATTTTTTTAAAAATCCACTGTTTGGCTGGAGAGCATTCTGCTGAGTGAGCTCAGTCCCATAAGGACAAATACTGTATATAACCATTATCATAGAAAGAGTATGAGGCTCCAGGGGGATGGGAGGATAGAAGCAGAGGGGTGAGGATGGGCGGGAGGGCAGGGATTAATCATGGGGTTGTCCAGTTTGATGGGTGCGGTGGGGGTTGAGTGAAATTAGAAGAATCAGGTCAAGAAAGCAATGTATCTGAATTTCGTAAATAAACTAGTATAGTAAAAAGAAGAAATCAAAACAAAAAAAAATTCTACTGTTTATCATGCTGTTGAAAGTGAAACATAATCCCCCTCCGCATTAAGACATGAAAGCACAAAGTAAGATCGAAAGAGTAGCATTTACCCAGAGTTCATATGGCAGGAAAGGATAAAAGAAAGAGGGAGGACTGGAAATGGGACCAACAGGGAGGAGAGGGGAAGAGTGCTCTTCGGCTGTGAGGCTGGCAGTCAAGAGGACGCGTCCAATATGTGTAAGTTGTTGAATAGAGCACCGATGTCAGCAGAAAAAGTATTGACAATGCCGTCTCATGTCCTGCTTTTAAATTTGATATTGTTACACAGAAAAGCCCTACTTCGATGAATGTGGCTGAGTTGCCAAATCCTCCCCAGGCAAACACAGAGATGCTAATATGTGTGCCCTTCGCACTTAGCAGAAGGTTCCTGGACTCTTACTAAAAGCCCAATAATGTCAGCCCACCTCCTTCTTTCCCCTCCTGCCTCACCCCTGTAGCCTTGTTCTCCAGCCATTATTAGAAAAGTAATAGACAGAGACTAGAAGGAGGCTGAGAAGATAAAAATGTTAGACGCAGGTAGAGAAGATACAGGAAGAATAGAAGAAAGAAGGCAAAGCCAACCAAAGAGGTCACAAGCCTGGGATTAGAACAGCAGCTTACCATCGGAGCAGACTGCCCAGTTCAAACCAGTATTGCCATCTTCGTGCAGTCTGTGGATTGGAATCTCACCTTCGTCCCTTACTAGCATAGCCAAGCTATGTGGGCCTCATTTATATCCTGTAAGGGCCTCATGTTCTTCATCTGTCCAACGAGGAAAAAAAAGTCCCAGCAGCGTAGTATTGTCACATGGATTACATGAGACAGTGCGTAAGAATGCACTTAGAACTGTATTGGGCACGTTCTAAGTGTTCCCTCCGTGTAAGCTAAGACCGTGATTTATAGCACAGCCATAGTAACGTTTACCATTTGCAGACTCAACAATTAGGCTAGTGCTCAGACACTTGGAAAGTTTCTTTCTGCAGTGTGATAGAAATCTGTGTTTCACAGTGTTTTGCAATTGAATATTTGCCTTTCGCAATATGCTGCAGATCACATTTAAATTCCTAAGAGCATTTCCCCCCATTAATCCTCTTATATGTAACCATTAGTGATGGAAGCTAGACATTAGAATTCTTTACACACAACTACGCCCAAACTCGATTTTGTTTAATCCGATCAAGTCCACTTGATAGTCAGTCCCTGAACACAGCATTTTAAGGTTTGCTGGAAAGCTTTGAATCCCAGTAAGCAGAAGAAAAGTGGAGGGTCATTGGGGCGTGCCCCCTGTGAGGCCTTACAGTGTCTCTCTGTGATTTTCAGTGGCCATGTACAAGGAGCCATCCCTGCATGACCTGACGGAATTCTCTCGATCTGGAAGTGGGACCCCCACCAAGAGCAGAAGCGTCTCCGGCGTGCTGAACGGAGGCAAATCCATGAGCCACAATGAATCAACGTAGCCAGTGAGGGCAAAACAAGGGCTCTGTAACAGAACCTTACCTCCAGGTGCTGTTGAATTCTTCTAACAGTCCTTCACCCAAAAGTTGAAAGTTTCAGTGCCGTTTACCAAACACGCAGGCAGATGCCTGCCATTAGCCCTTCATATAATGTGTACTTAAGCCCCCTAATTTAGATTGAGCTTGCGCCAAAGAGCGCCAAGCGTTAACAGTGAACTAAATCTGGGAGAAGGACTGTCCAATTTTCTCATGTTCTCACTTATGCTTTGGGGGATGGCAAACCAAAAATGTTGCATAGCTCTCATGCTGATACAAATTTGCTCTCCCACCAAGAAAATGTCAAAGACCACAGTCGTTCTTCAAACACAACACACAAAAACACGAATCAAAAACAAGATTAACTGCTTACATGTTTTCGTCAAAGCAAAGAAAATCATGTGAAACGTGTTCTTTTCCTGGCTTCATGTTTTCTATTCATGCTTGATTCAGATGTCGTCGTCTTTATTTTGGTATAGTGCAGTGTTTTGATTTCTGAAATTCTATGGTTCTGTCGACTCTGTGTCGCTTAATCCAAATCAACCAAATTCAGGGTTGAATCGGAATTGGCATCTCAGGCTCAAGGTAACAGTGTTTGTGTGACTTTTAAAAAAAAATGTTTTGTTTTGGTTTTTTTTTTAGATTTTTAGCAATTTGGTCAAGTTTTTGTGCTGTACTTTGTGCGTAGAAACTCAGATGTGTCGTCAACCCCAGTCAGTACAGATAACTTTAAAATAAAGGAAAAGAAAAAAATAACCCTCAAGTGTAGATTTCTCTTAATTCCATTTGTGTATCCTGTTTAAATTATTCTTGTGGCTTCATCTTGTGTAAAGACGGGAACTGTGGAACTGTGATGTTTTTCCTTGTATTGTTAAAATAAGAAGTGTCTTATCTGTATCTGTATGAGTCATTCTGTCACTGTATTTGGCACGTGAATATTGTGTACAAGGAAATGTTAAGATTGGTTACCCCTAAACAACATATACTTATACTTGCTATTGGAAAAGTGTTTAAAAAAACTTAGCTAGGTTTCCATTTAGATCTTCATATCTGTTGCATGGAAGAAAGTTGGAATCTTGGCATAGAGTTGCATGATATGTAAGATTTTGTGCATTAATACTTGTTAAAACCTGTGTTCCAAAAATGGACATAGCATGTACAGACAGTTTTCTGTCCTGTACAGAAAAAGTAAAAAAAAAAAAGTTGTTTAATATTTGTTGTTGTATTACCCAATTACGCACCGAATAAACTCTTTATATTCATTCAAAGAAAAAGCCCTCCAGTGTGTGTTTATTGAACAGCTGTTATGCAGTGACTCTAGTAGGAGCTAGAGTTGAACAGCGAATTCTGAAGAGAAGACCTTGTTGCCTTACACTTTGCTTATTATACTTTGCACATAATGCATCGCTCGTCTAGGTTTTTGCTTTCCCCCATTGGTTTGGTTTTCTTTGTTGTGGATTTTTTTTTTGTTTTGACTTTTAAGCAGCTTGAAGGTTTGTCACAACCCTGTGTTAATCATATCCCCCACAGTATGTGCTCACTTTATGTCTCTTTGCTACGTTTTAGAAATCTTCCCAGGGTTTCACATTTGTTTACATCCTTTTTCAAATCCTCACAATATTTCAAACTTGTGTTGTTACACACGTAAAACTTTTATTTGCACTTGTTCTGTGCCGTTGAGTGCACTGGGAAACAAAAAACCTCACGTGACTCACTGTAGTGCTGTGTTCCCTTCATTGTGGTGATCTGGAACTGAGCCCATAATATCTCCAAGCTATGCCTGTAATCCAAGGGTTCATATGAATATAAGCATTCTTCCAAGTGTGTGCTGTTGTCCTTTGGACTCTGAGAGTGCATGGAAGAATTCTCATTTACATTTAATGATCCAGAGATAGAGGTGAGACCTCCGTTCCGGTATTTCCACTCGCATTCACACTGTCATTTCTCCACTCTGTCCTTCCATCCTTTCCCTGTAGAGTGACAACACAGAGCTAAAGAATATCTCAAATCCTTTTCACCTCAGAGCTGAAGGTGAAATGTTCAGAGCTAATTTCTGAGCTCAATGTTACTTACAGTGTTGGTGACTTTTCAGTTGTTCCCCCAATCTGTCTGGAATTAAAGGCTTTGGAATAGCAAATATGTAAGAAATACTTCTTAGGGTAACTACAAAATAAGGGCTAGGATTATTAGTCCCATGTAGACACTACCAGAACCCCTGAGCATAGTCAGCCTTTGAACCTGGGACAAAACACCCCTGTGGTTCAACTTTCAGTCAAATAATGGACAAGTCTATAGGGTTAACAGTAACACCATGAAGACACTTATTTCTTAGGTCAAAAGAGCAGCATTTGCCCAAGGATCGAATCTAAAAGGCTGCTAAGGGTAGAATGGAAGAATTGGTAGACATGAGAATCACAGGGAGGAAGTTGGAATTGTGCAGTTACATTGTAGATATTATAATTAATGTTGCACAATAATCATTGGTATTGTTATAATGTGTATTAATAGTTGAATGGAAGACCAGTTTTCTTTATAAACTTTCATTGAAATCACAAAAAATGTAATGAGATGTCAGGAGCCCCAGGCAGTATGCTTTTGCAAGGAGCAGAAGCTACCCATTTATCTAAGATGTTTCTGTTGGATCCTCACTTGCTCCAAGGTAGGCTCTGCCCAGCCCTGCCCTGCCCCATCACCATCTGACCGGTCTTGAGCCCTCATCCAGTCTGAGTCCTGATTCTCAGCTGGATGAGATGAAGCTGCTAGTCTCACTCAGACTCAGATCAGAAGCCCGTGCAGCATTGTTTAAAGACCCATGTGCCCTCAAAGAGTTCTTGAGTAGTGCCAAGGGTTAATTAAGTGCTTAGCCGCTAACCAAAAGGTTGGTGGTTCAAACCCACCAGAGATGCCCTGGAAGAAAGGTCCGGCAGCCTGCTTCTATAAAGATTATAGCCTAGAAAATCCTATGGAGTTTCGTTATATTCTGTGAGGCATGGGATTGCCATGAGTTGGAATTGATTGGATGGCAACAAGTTTGTTGGCTGTAGACTTGCTCAACCACATCTCTCCACCACACAATGTTAATGCTTTTCAGTGTATTGTCTCCTCCTTCCTCCAAGGACTTCAACGTTTGGTTATTGACTCTTTCTGTGACTGTCATTCAGAGACACCATGGTCTGCTGGGATTAAGCAAATCGGCTCATGGGTGTCTCAGATAAGCCTGGTGCAAATGAGAAGGGCCAAAACCGCTCAGAGTTGCATTTGAGCTGCTGCAAATTCTTTTTTAATATCAGATGATGTTGAAATAAATCCATCGGTAAATAGTCCTCAATGAAATGTTCCATCTGCTCGATAATGCCAACACTTCTGCATCTCCTAAGCGCATGTGCACACACAAACACACGGGACACTGATGATCAAGTCTTAACACGCGCTTGATGAAAGGAAACCAGGAAAAGGTTCAACAGTAAATAGCATTGGAAAACCCTACAAAGACTGGTGACTCTCAAACTTGGCACACTTTTTAATGACCTTGATGGTTTCTAAGGCTCAGATTGCTGCATCTGCCCCAGCGCTTCCACCTGAGTAGATCTGGGGGAAGAGAGGCAACAGCAGAGCTTTGTCTTTCTGGTAGGTTCTCAGGTGATGCCGAAGCTGCTGGTCCTAGGAGCATCACCGACACCAAGAATTCCCCTGTGGGGTTGAAAATGCGTGCATTCATACTTTGCATTTTAAAAACACCCCACTTGGTATTAACTTTTTCATGATTAAATCATGTTCTTTGAATCTTTTGTTGATGCACATGTTTTTAATAATGAAAAATACCCTGAAACCAACAAGAAAAAAAAAGGTTTTTATTAAGGTGTTAGAGATTTTGATGCTACTATGTGGGACACACATGTTCCTAGGTGCATTCTGATGGTAGGGTTGGTGAGATGAAGCCCATCTCTTCAGGTTCAGGGAATGACAGACGTCTTTGCCAGGGCCTACTACGTACTACATACATCATCACCACTGAGACAATGTTGTCTCATAGCCATGCTGTACAAGTGGAACTACCTCACGGGGGTGTCCGAGACTGCAAGTCTGAAATAACAGCCTTCCGAGAAATCGGAGAGGCTCAAAATGTTGGTGGGTGTCATGTCCCAGGAACCATAAAATCATTAAAGATTTTGACTTTGAGAACTCCTAGGATCAATACACTCGATTGACTATGAAGTTTCACGAATACCCGTGACATTGCTGTAAAGTGGTGGACCTCGAACTTTCTGTGGGCACCTGAATCACCAATGACATTTAGTCTCCGTCTGCAGTTTTAAGGAAAGCCTCCGCATCTGCTGGCTCTACTGCCCAGTAGACAGACTACTGTGTGGCATGCGTTCAAGATGCCACTGCCACCTGCCACTGTGGGTCCTGTCAGTGTCCTGTACTGAGCTTGGGTTAGGATACAGGAAAGGAATAAGCACATTGTCACAAGTATGTGCAATTCTTTAAAAGCAGAACAAAGACCATCTTCCCCCCACCCCGAGTTTCGATTGTGGAATGCAAGCCTCTAACTATATTCTATTGGCTAAGGGGTGCCCTATCTCCTACTGGCTGAAAATACTACATCCATAGTACACTCAACGGGGCATGGCTCTAATTGAGTGCTGCTCTCAAGCTCCGAAAGAGAAAAGGAAATGCCAAGCCTGGAAAGAACAGCATGTCTGAGTTACTCTTTCATGAACCATCACGCCTTGGACTTTTTATCTCCCAGCATTGTGATGCTTTCTTAAGGCTGGTTTAAATGTATTGTGCAGAGAGCAGTAATCTGTGGCAAATTGATCAGACCTTTTGCTAATATTCTCGGAATGACTACACATGTCTGGTTATGTGCTCCATCACATTTGCCCTATTAAAGAATGCAGGAAAATGCATAGCATCTTTTGGAGGATATTTGGATTTCTATACGAGCATCTTTGGGTTTGTAAAGCTATGAATTCTGTCTTCGTGGAGAAGGTTTTTCCAGAACAGGGAACATGAATGTTTTTTCCAGGCTTAACATTCTAAAGAAAACAAATACCAACCTAGTGGGGAGGTTTTGGTCAGTTATAAGGATTTTTTTTTACTTATTTGCATATGTATTTGTCAGTTTTGAGTTGTTCTTTGTGATAACTTGCATATGTATCTCATGTTTGCATTAAAGAGAAATACAAAGAATATATAGTTGGGTTTGTTGTTTTTTTTAAGTATGCTAGCAGCCAGGAAATCAAGAAATGAATTGCATTTGGAAAGTCAGCTGTGAGGGACCTCTACAGAGTACAGAAGAGCAACAACGTCAGGCTGGAGACTAAGGTGTGCCCAATCTGGGCCATAGTCTTTGTAATTATGTGCTAAGTGTCAGAGAGCTGGACAGTGACTAGGGATGATAGAAAGAGAATTGATGCCTTTGAGCTGTGGTGCTGCAGCAGAGTGTTGACTGCTAAAAAAATGAAAAGGTGGAGATAACGACTCTGAGGCTTCATCTGACATACTTTGGACATGGTGCAAGCATAACGTCCTTGGAGAAGGATGTTATGCTTGGGAGAGTGGAGGGACAGAGTAAGAGAGGAAGACCCTCGATGAGATGGGTTGATTCAGTAATTGAGGTAATGTGTCAGAGACAGTGAGGTTGGCACAGGATAGAGCAGGGTTTAGGGCTCTTGTACACAGGGTCGCTATGAGTCGCAAGTGACTTGACAGCACATAACAACAACAAATCTACATCAGTATACCAAAAACTATAACCAGCACTATTGAGTCAGTGCCAACTCAGCCACACGTTAGGACCGAGTTGGAGCTACCCCATAGGGTTTCCAACACTGCAGATCATTACAGAAGCAGACATGTTTATCCTACAAAGCAGTTCATGGGCTCAAACTATCGATCTTCCAGTCTAACCGACAGTGTGTGTGTGGTTGTGTGTGGGGGTGTACCATTGAGTTGTAACCAACCCATTACTGACCCTCCACCAGCTTTTCAGAGGCAGTAATCACGCCCGAGGAGACTGCCAATTCTCCTGCAGAGCAGCTGGTGGAGTCAGACCAAGTGCCGACCTTATAGAAAGATGTGGAGAGAAAGAGCGTGAGAGAGGGAGATGGGGGAGAGCGCCATAAGGCACACCTGACTCAAGCCATGGTCTGCTATAAAAGTTTACCCTTACTCTCTTCACCTGTAGGGGAAAACCCTCAAGAAACAAAGTAGCAAACAAAACCCTACTTACTGACCCTGAGTTCTGTTGGTGAAGTGGCTAAGCAGT